CCAATAATATTTCACCTCTTACCCATATTTCTCTAGTGTATTTTATGGAGAATAAGCCTGGGTTTCTACCAAAAATTTAGGTATTAGGCATTTTCAGTACCAATAACAATAAAATTTTTTCCTTGAAAACATTGTGAAAAATCTCTTGATTACAAGGTTACAATCCTGACCACAAGGATCAAGAAGTGAGGAATTTTAGGAAAATCATGTGGATAGGAAAACATGTAAATTTTGCATATTTGATTGTTTCTAAGTTTCATCGAATGGAACATGCAAAATTACAACTGTAGGTGGCATATGACATGATTTGTCCGACGATCTTTTTGCTTGTCACGTTTTCTGTTAGCTATATCACTAATTGGAAGCTAGTTTGTTTTTATAATTACTTTTAAATATTGTTATTTGTCAATGCAGTACATATACCTTCAGCCTTAGGCTGCATTGCCAGTTGTACTGTACCTGAATAAATACATAATAGATAATCTTGAAATAGTGTACCAGTGATAAACAGGTGCATTAAACAAAAATTCAATATTTGAATCTTGTGTTGGATTTTTTCCTTGTTTATTTCATCCAAGTGATTTATTTTTGAATATTAATTGAATCGCAATAACCTTGACCTTTCAGAGCTAATCAACATTTCTAATTCTTCGTTCATGTTATTGCAAAAGGAGATTTTCAGAGTGTGCGAAAAAAACTCATTTGCAAAAATGGGTTGAATTGGAAATGTGTTTGTCTACACGTGTTAGAATGAAGCTTGTAACAGATTGAGGTCATTTAAAACTTTAGAACGCATGTTTAATTGGTTTGGCATTAAAAATTCCATTAGAGAAAGACAGGTTACTTCTTTTTATATTTCCCTTTGGTCGATTTTAATCCCTTCATAATTTCCTCATTGCAAATGAGAGTGTGATTCTGTTAATCAATTCAGTGCACCGGAAATTCTGTGGCGGTTCTAGCGGGATACTTACTGTACACTCCGACTCATCTTCTCAAGATGGCCATCATATTTTGTTGCACTTTTTACAATATCTATGAAACCCTTGGTCACTCTTTCCGTTTCGTATTTTGGGAGGATTACAATTAAATTAGTATGCTGCAGAGACAGGGATAAGCTACAGGCCTATGGGCCCTAGTGGGTCGCCAAGGATTTAATTTACTGTACAGTACTGTAGAGAACTGAGTTTTATTAATAGTTTATTGACAATACTTACAAGCAAATCCTCAATGGTTAAAGTTTCAGTGACATACCCTCCAAACTATACCACTTGACATCCTCAAAAAGCTTTGAAAACCTGTATATCACTGTTGTAGTTTTGAAAAATTTGTATGATAAACCTACTATTATACAAGGAAATCATTAATTTACAAAAAAAATGTAAAATATTTGAATAAAATGGTAAAGGCAACTACTGTATTACATGATCTGTAATGATAACACTAAGAAAGTCATTAAATTATTGTCATCTTGCAAAAAATCGACAGTTATATATTTAACATCATTTATAGATATTTTTAAAAAACGCATTGTTTAATTAGATTAAAAAATGATTACCATGATTACCATACATTTACTCTAACAACTGAGCTAAAAAGCCAAGCTTGTAAGCTGGTAACTGTAAAGCCCCTTTCAGACAGAAAATACCGCAATAATACCCTAATCACGCCGCCGTTATTGCCGGCGCAGACCCTTTCACACAGCTAGTTAAAATACGGTAATAATACCGTATCCTGTCTGAAAGGGTTCTTGCGGAAAGGAGTATTTGATGTTTATGGCGCTTGTGCTTGTTAACAAAGAGGGCGCAAGTTTTTGTTTACTCCATTAATCCAATATGGCCGGGGAAGAAGTCATAAAACTGCTGCTTTGCAAATGTTTTTTAATGCTTGCTACGTTTGCAATACATATAAATTGAGAAACAGAAGGTTTCTAATGCGTTTCGTTCAAGGGAAGAAAGAATTTAGGAAGCGTTTAAGGCGAGGCTTTTATTTTGAGTCACTAGGTGCAGGCGATTTTCGCGTCTAAAAGAACCGTCAGCTAGCGATTTCATCGGCTTTGTTAGCTGTAGTAGCGGTTGATGGCTGCTCGTGTGACCGTCTGATTTGTTATGCCTCAGTGCGTAAGACGGCGATGAACCCTGTACCCTTTCACATCGAGTTGGGCAAAACTCGCTACGGTATTAATGCGGTATTAAGACTAGGTCCCGAGGAGGTCTAACTGAAGCCGGCGTTTAGGCGTATTTACCCTTTCACATAGAACGCCGACGTTCGAGTAATATGGTATTAATACCGTTTTGCAGGTCTGTCTGAAAGGGGTATAAGTATCTTTTGGATTTATCAATATAAGTTTACTATAAAGCAAAGTCTACCTATACTGTTTAGTGTCTGTTATTTTTGTTCTAACTCTATGGGCCATGTGTTTTTTAATGTTCTTCCATGACCACAGGTGATATCATGGCAGGGACTTATAAGAGCATGTTTTTCCTTTCCTTAATCAAGATAATTTTCTACCTTTGCTACAAATATTTTTGTTATCACCAATCGGCTACTTTTTATGAGTGCAAAGGCATTGGTTGTTGTTTAATTTTCCTGTTTTATGGCAGAAGGGATCAGGCTGATGTTAGCTCTGATCACATCTCCCTATCATAAAACCAGTGAGTGACATAGTACAAGAGGTTTATTGAGTTATCTTAAGTCAATTTCACATTAGATTTACATACCTTAGGGATGTACAGGATCACATAAGAAGGATTAAATTCATTATAGGAAGTGGAGGATAGTGTATCTATAGTGACTTAAGATGATACCTGAATAGAGGTGTAACATTCACTTTTTTATGACATATTATGTACAAGGGAGTGGAGGTTATTGCCTGAGTAAACCCAAAAGCTGTATCATGTATACTTTATATTCTATCACTATTTAAATGAAGTTACACAGCCAATTGCAAGAAGACAGCTCAGCTTGTTTACATTTTCATTAGCCATAGATAAGATTATGAGTATGTAATGTCACTTATATGTCATACTATATGTCATAGGATTAAAATTATATTAATATATTTTGTAATTGTGGACCTGGCACCACCACCTCCAACAAAGGGCAATGGTGGTGCCAGGAATTCCCCGACAAGGGAGTCCAAGGTCCCCAACGAGAAAAAAGTGGGCATGGTCGGGCGTTTCTAAAAACCTTTCAAAATTAGTCCAGGGGATGTAGTCCCCCTCCCCCCAAAAATATGACAATTTAGGGTTTCAAATGCTAATTAAATGATTTTAGAGTCTATTAATATGTACAAAATACATATAATTTTTTTGAATTTTTTTTCTCCCTGACGAATTGTGGTTTTTCTTAGCGCCGCCACTGACACAGGGTCAAAAAGTTATACCATGCTCACATCGATAAATGTTTATGGTATGATGAACTTACTTTAATGCATTCTTGTTTTCCCGATGCTTGTTTTAAGTGCAATTCACACAATTTGTCAATAATTTTGGACAATACTAGCCAATCACAATACACAGTCTTAGAGCACAGTTTATGGTACTGTAGGCTAAAGTTGGACACTCTCGACTAAGTGTGAGAAAAGAATTGACGCCGGAGTCATCAGACATATTAAACTCCATACAGGATATTATCCTGCATAACAAGTTTACTTTTTTGAGATGTGTGTTGTTCTATTAGAATTGAGACACTCTTAATATCTTAAGTTGGATGAATTGGCTTATGGACTTATAAGGTGATTCAAGTATACATTCTCCCCCATTCTTATAGTAAAAACTGTAATTTAAGTTGATAGAGATGTTTACGTGTGCTTCTTTACAAAGCAACTGTCACATGTGATTATTCTATGAATAGTGTATTGTCATTGAGGTAAATTAATGACATATTTCTGTCTTTTTTGTAGTGTATGAATTCACAATAACTTGTGGTGTAACTGTTACAAATTAGTTGATGCAGCTCTAATATTTGGTCACTATCTGATGACCTGCTAAAAGGTCAAGTTTAAAAATACAGGAATAATAATATTATCTTTGATTTCATTTTACCTCCAGGTTTGTATTGCTGTTATAATGTATGCAATCTGTTTATAGGTCGTTTTAACACTTAGCTAGTTATATTTGTGACATAGCTAATGGTCTATTACTGCTGTACCGTAGTCTAATCGGTTGGCAGGCTATATTTATCATCTTGCTTGCTTTCAGCTATATTTTATTTCACTGTAACCTCAATGTGGCTTCCAAAGTTCTTTGTAAAAAATAACATTAAACAGTTTTTCTAATACTGTATCTAAAAACTCATGATTTAAAGTATATTACTTACTGTATAAATCCTAAACAACTTTATTCTTCAATAGTTTTTAAGTATGAATGCACATGACACAAAGTTCAACACATTTCAATTAATTGATAATACATGCATTAGTGAAAAGTACACAGTTGTTATGGGCTTATTATTTGTTTTCAGTACTTAAGCTCTCTTACTGTAGCTATGACATGTTTTATAGCCAATTTGGTACAAAGGTGACTTTCTATAAATCTGTATAACAAAACTTGTTTCTTCTACTGATGTAAACATATATTCTTAAGCCATTTAATAAACCTAAATGTATCAAATATTTTACATCCCTTGAAGTACTATTAACGGGCCGTCCAAAATTTGTAACATTTTCGAAAGAGTACAGAAATATGCGTCAGTCGGGAAGAGGGTTAAAAGTGTAGTTTTTCAGAAAACGATAAAATGATATTAAAATGACACAAATCATCATTTTATTGTGTATTCTTTCAGGGGGAGGGAGTCACAGAAAAGAGTATGTTTTGCTGTTGACCCAACTAAAAATTGTGTGAACATTATTTGTTTATAATAATAATAATAATAATACTAAAATAATAATAATGATAAATAATAATAATAATAATAATAATAATATAACAATAGAAAGTTAAAAAAAATATATAAAATTAAATTAAATTTGAGTATTTATAGATCTTATGTTTGCATTTCAGTTGTAACATTTTTCAGCTGTAATATGCTTGTGTCCCTGTGGTGGAACCAGCAGCAATTGAGGACATAGCGAAACGCAATATAATGGATAGTTCTCAGGATGAGCCAAGTCTGCATCAGAACCAGGTAAACAAAATTTAACATCAAGATCAGCTCCAAAAGAAAATGAAATCTAATGTTGTTTTTTTTTATAACCAGACATTATGGTGCAAGATAAATTCACAAGGGATTCTTCGTAATCATTTTTGTAATGATTACATCAATATTAAGCAACATGTTAAAGTACAGTACATACTAAGAAAGCTGAAATCCATTCTTTATAGGATTGCTTACAAATGAAAATCTAAATAGGTTGAAATGTAAATATTGATGTTTTTTTTAGGATTTGAAAGAGCGATTGCTATTGACGATGTATGGCATAAGAAGGAAGTTTTACGCTGCGACTCCATTGTGAAATAGCTCGACTTTTATACCATCGCTGTTTTGCTTAGCACTTTGTTCAATTGATCGAACCTAATCTATTATGGGATATCAAAGAACTCATTTAGTTTGTTTATTCATGAGGAGTGCTAATCAAAGGGATTTCATTTCTCTGGGTGCACTGAACGATGGTTAGCATTGTAAATAACTGTTAGTGATACCCCATCAGCATACATGTAATAAATCATGCATAAATTCATTAGTTCAGTAGCCATGCATTAAGGGTAGGTTCCTATCTTTTAGATAAATTAATTACAGCATTCCATCAAATTGATGAAGTATTTAACGAATATCCTTGGGCTGATCTGATACAGTAGAACCACTCATTTGCGAACCCCGATTTTACGAATTCCCGATTTTACGAAGGTAAAATCATGTCGTCATAAATAAAGTTCCTATTTCATGTACAAAACACACACGCGTGTCAAGAATTATTCGTTAGGCGCGTGCTGGAGTTTATTCACTCGGTCTTAGACGGTTTGTTGTACACTATCAGCAATCTCTACTACAATATAAAATGCAGAGAGTGAGCTTTAAATACACCGACATTCAACACGGCGATCATACTTCATGTCTGCAGCCATGAGAAAACTCTGCCTAATGCGTAAGTTGTCGGCATAATATCGATAGGCGCAATTCACTTTCAAGTTTGTTTACGAACATTGTCCACTGAATAAATTATGTGTGTCTTAGCCCTAAATCTTACGTAATAGAAAAGACAAAATAATCTTCGTAATTAACCCCCCCTACCAAATTTATTTTAACCAATGATATTGGAATAGATTACTGTGTCGTGTATAGGCCTACAGTCACGTTTAGGTTCGATTTACAATTTTAATTTAAAATAGATTTTTTTATTTATCAAATCTCACTAACGTTAATCTACCATTTCATTATTTCCCCCCATAAAAAAAGACACTGACACCCACATTTTCTTTTTAACTTTATTATTCATTACATAAATGTTAGTGTAGGCGTAGTAGAACAATCGTATTGTATAAAAAAAAAATATATAAAGTCCTTGGAAGCGCCGTGTCTACAGCCAATCAGCGCTCTTCTGTTAATAAGTGAACCCCTGGTTTCCGGGTAATTCTGTACAGGTATTTACTTGCCACAAGCACATGGGTCGAGTGAAAAACGTTGTTGCGTTACTCGACCTGTTGCAGAGTACATATCACTAAGAAATTATTTGTATGGTAATGGTAATAATAATTTATTTTTATATAGCGCCAACAAACAATAAATTATTCTCACAGCGCTTTACAAAATGATGGGATACAGTAATAATTTGTGTGTGTGTGTATATATATATATATATATATATATATATATCACTATTAATTCATTTTATTATTTATTACACAAATTAGAAACAAATGCAGTATGTTTGTTTCTAATGAGTATACTTAGATATGTTTTTCTGAAGCATAATCAGTGATGAGAGTAAAGGGATAAAATAAGAATATGTTAAAAGTAGAATCGTTTTCATAGAGTTGGATAAACAATGAATATAATGACACTTGATTGAACATCCCTCAAGATGATTCTAGAAGCATGTCATTGCTTTAAGGGATTCATAATTCATAAGGTCAAGCAAGGATGTAGCTACAACAGGTACTGCTTAAGGTGGCAGTAATAGTTGTCATGGAACTGCTTAAGCAAAATATGATAATGATGATGATGATGATGATGATGATGATGATGATGATGATGATGATGATGATGATGATGATTACAGTCAATGTTTTCAGGAACATAAATTTTTTTTCATAATCCACATCATTTGGTTAAGGAGTAAGGAAAAATGGTAGTGTCTCACATAATTTTAACGCAAACATCCCGATATTGCGAAATGAGCACCGTGACAACCAAGTCACATTCCATTATATCATTAATTAATAATGATAATGTAGTAATGGTAACTTTTTTTTAAATTAAAAATAAAGGAATTAATGATGAACAATAATGATCATAATATGAATAAAAATAATAATTGAATAATTTTTTACTAGTATGAAAGCTCATCTGTGTTTGTAATAATAGTAATTACATGAACTTGATATACAGTACATTGTTTTATTTTAATTAAACAAATTTAGGACTTCAAATTACACATGATTATGATGTTGCACTGAATACATTTGCAACTCTTTACATTTTGTTGTAATGCTAATCATATAATATTGTGTATTCAGGCAGTGCTTTGCACTTCGATATTAATTTTAAAATGCGTAGGTTTCCTCAGATGGTTATGTTTTCCTCCTGTAATTGATTATGAATCTGTCCTCCTGTGTATATTCTTCATCGGATCTGGTTGCCAGCTTGGCATTTTAATCATAGAGTAGGGAAAAGGTGATAGAATTTATGAGTTTACATTAACAACAATGTTCTTATAGCCTGGCCATTTGGGATACACTGCTGCTCTTTATCTAAGGTGAGGAAACTAATTATACCTGGCCTCGCCTACAGGCCTAGACGAATAGTAGTTAAAATATTGTCAATGTAGAGTGTTGAAGAGAGATAAAATACTCTACAAATATTTCTACACTGATTTTTTTTAAATTTTCAATGCTACCTACCTAGTTATTTTTTCATTCTTTAAAAATTTGTATCATCTACAAATCTATCTTCACTGGTTAATGTTTAGCCTTAATAAGAATATATTAATAATTGATACTTATAAATATAAATGTCCAGAATTCTTATCCTATGATTGGTTATGATGTAATGTGTAGCCATGATTGATAAAAATAAGGTTAAACCTTTAAACCTTATTGTGTTTATTTTCGACTCTTTGTTAATAAACATCCTGAATTTATTAAGCTAGTAGTAGGTTTATTATTAATTAATTCATTCATTCATTCATTCATTCTTTCTTTCTTTTGTTCCTTCCTTTCTTTTTTAATTCATTCATTCATTCAGCCACTTTCTGTACTTGTGTTATTGGTTTTCAAAGTGGTACAGTTACAAACAAACCACCAAGGTAGAAAGAAAACAACACAGTGAAAAGAACATTCAGTGTTAACACTTATAAATTGATATAATTTTGGAATGAAACTAACATCATTTCTTTAAAGTTAGTTTTTGTTTCATATGGAGGTTTATTTATCGTAAAATACAATAGTCACTCTTTGCTTTAACATGTTTCATTGAAGTTTTTCAAGAAGATTCCATTCCTTAAATCTCTGTTTAGCAATTAACTACTCTATAATTACTTACAAACGGTATTCCTTTGAGGAATTTCATTGATGGTAATGCAATTAGGAGGAATATAAAGCCAACTGCTTAACAAAATTCTTTCATTATAATTTCCATCAAAATTCTGTATAAATTACGAGCATTTCCAGTTTATGTTTGGTTAAAGATGAAGTATAGTAGTTAATATAGAAATCTCTAGAACTGTTCAGTATTTGATTACAAACCTGTCGTATGAAAGCATATCAGTTTTGAGAATTGCTTCTAGAAAATATGGATTTCATATTTTAGATTTATGTTTTTACTCGTGCATGCTTTTGCTAACATATGTTCTCAATTTCATAAAAAATTGTTCCAGGCTCCCCATCTAATTTGAATAAGACTTGCATCTAATTAAGATTTCCTTGAGTTATCATAGTTCGCATTTTATACTGAAACATATTGACAGCCATTACATATTTTTAATGATTCAGTTCCTCCTGTAATTTTAATGACTTCTAACTGTACTACATTTTTTTGTATTTTTTATTATGTGCAGGTATTTATTATATTATAATATTTGTGCACTTGATTTTTTTCTGTGGTTTTCTTTAAAATATTTTATATTTTTATAGTCTGCCATCTATGAGTAGGCCCTTAGTCATTCATTTTCTCTCCAAGTGTTCTGATGTTACATGCTTCATAAATTTTATTTTATTTATTTTTGTATAGGCCTAGCACTTCAAATATTTTATATTAATAAGAACATTTTTTATTTTATAATTTGTTGTTTGCTTCTGTGTTGGTTGAAATTACTGAAGTATATTATTATTGTAAATACTATTACTAAGTAATTGTTAATGTTGGTTATTTGTTTTTAAATAATTTTTATACAATTTTAACCATTGGTGAAGTTACATAATATTGCTTGTAAATTTCATATAATAATTAGTTTAGACATAGTGAAGGTAAAATCACCCTCACTATGTCTACTTTGTTTTTATACTCTTCTGATCACCAACCATTCTTTAACAAAAAGCTACCAGCTTCTTATACAGAAAGGCCTCAGCTTCTTAGCTCACTATGCCATCAGTGTCTTAGTACCAATCCACAAGTATCTTAACCACCACGATTTCTTAACCACCTACAGTAGCTTATGAGAATATCCACAGATATTTTTGCTGCCAATCCATAAGCAAGCTTTTTTGTCACGAACCCACCAAAACAAGCTCTTACTTTGTCACCAAGTCAAAAGGTTCTTGCAAAGTCACCAGTTTATGCTTCTTACAGTAACTAAATTTTTTTGCCACCAACCCACAAGCTCCTTGACCACCCAGCTACCAGGTTTGGAGACATGGCAACCAGGAGTTTCATAATGCACAATCCACCAGCTTCTTAGCCAACATATCATGAGCTCATTTTTTACCCAACTACTTCCATCATCCCAATCATTTTCCACTAGTACACTTAGAATAATGCATTTCCTTTTTGCATTGTAATCAATATTGAGTTGCTTGTCATTACATACAGTATACATTACATATTACTTTCAAATCATATGCTTCATTAATAAAAGATAGTTGTCATTTTCTTTTGTGGTATGTACTCAATAGTATAGTAGAGATCATTGTACAACCTATAGTGTGCTGACACTAGTTGGTGAGTACAAGTACTTTTTACAGTTAAAAGTCCTTGGTGAGTATGGTGTTATGGAAGTGTTAGTTTAAATACCATGTCACAATATTTATCAGATATTATACACACATACAGTAGTACAGTATGCATATAGAATATTAACTAGCATCAGTCTAAATCAGTGATTATGTTCAAATAATTTTTTTTTTGTTTTTCATGCAGAGACCACAAAAACATCAATTAACTCATCGGTACCAAAATGGAGGACATATTCATGGAATGGATGAACAACCAGAGGTGATACCCGGTAACCACATGTTTAGAGCAGAATCGATTCCTAGGCATGTAATGGACTCCCCAAGCCTCCATGCAAGAGCTCAGGCCAGGGGCGAAGGACAAGGAATTAGGGAGGTTGACAAAAGTTCTGTTGCAGGAGCTGGTCTAGAGCATTGTGTAAGGAACGTCACTGATGGTAAGCCACATGTTTGCATTATTGTTGTGGAGTTTCAGTGCTTGCCTTCTTATCGTAGTCTCCTGGGTTCCAATGACAGCAGGAATTTTTCTCACAACCAAAATTAATTCCACTCCTTAAAACCCCATAAAGAGACTTAAAGATTAGAATAAAAATAGTTTGAAATTCCTGCTGAACATCCCTTTTTCCTAGAGAAAGTTCTCGTGCTCTGTTCGCATTCAGTCTAACTGGCTTTCAACTCATCACTGCTGCTTTTAAATTGAATGTCAGCAAGCAGGGCACTTTCATAATGTTGATTAAAGTTCACTGCTAATGTGCTTATAATAGTTGTATAATTATGTGTTGAATGCGGATATTAGCCCATGAACGTTTCCAAGCAATAAGTAACTGAGTCTTGAATCTATTGTAAGAAACTAACATCCATTTTTAAAATAATGCCTGTTTTATATTGCCAAGATCTCTGTAAATATCTATCTTTAGTGGAAGTTCCAAATGTCTCTCATGAATATTATTGTGAAAGTCAGTAGATTATAGTGATCGGTGAATTGACATTGGCCCTGGAGAGGCGATTTAATGTAACCTTTAGTAATGTAAGGAGGCCGCTACTTCAATTCATTTGTTTATCCTTTTACTGATCTCTAGGTATTTCCTCAGGATGTCTTAACATTACTACTGGAAATATTAACCAAAGGTGGTTATAGAAGGGAGAGTAATATTCATACAGTATAGTAGATCAGTGATTAATAATTCTGTGGTATAAATATTTTAAATCAGAGGGGTTTCTGCACCAAACCTTATCTTTGTCTCAAACACCATATAAAAAAACAAAAAAAGTGTATTTTCATTTTTCCTCAGTATGGGAAGCAATTAGGTAATTACAAATGACCAACATCTTAAAATTTAAAAAGTCCACCAGCTGCAATAAAACATTTTCACACCTGAGTACCCATTTTACTGTACATGTGAATTACAGTACAGTACTAGACCAGCACTTTCCAAACCGACCAACGTCTTAAAAATTTATAAATTATATGGTTTTTTCACAACTTCTTATAGCTTTAGAATAAGAGGCATTTTATAAATTTAACATTTTTTTTCTTAAATTTATTAATATTAATTCTGTTTAACTGATTATAACATGTAGATTATTTAGTTATACTCCCATTGAAAACATCCCTAAAATAATAATAGAACATTCTTATAAAGTTTACTTTAATATAAATTCTGATTGACTATAAAGTACTCTTGTCTACAGGGATGTTCATATTTTACATTAATCAATACTAGCTGACATAAAATTTTTTACTTGCACTACGATAGTTGAAATCTACACGTACTGTACACCTGACATAGTTGATTTTCACGCCATAGTACTTGGATTCCTTGTGTATAGTCAATGTATCTGTCCTTGGTAATTCAAAGACCCAACGTGTTTATTACACACACTTACGATTCCCAAAGGTGTTCAACTCTTTGACATGCAGATGATGCAAAGTTTTATTAATTCACAGTTCAACACATAACAAATAATATATATTATTATTGTAGAGCCTCAGGTAATTGATTTTTGTATAGGCACTTATATTGTTATTACAATATCAAAACCTGGATGCTTAAATTCAGCTACAATCAGTAGTTGTAATTATACCATGGGCTTTTTCGCAGATGAGGGCTAGTATTGTATCTGAAATCAAGCCTAAACTAGGGGATAGACTTTTATTCGAGCAGATACGATACTCTGTCAAATACATTATAAATTAATAGGATCTACTATATTTTTTGTGTTAATGCATAATTCAATTTTTATAATTGAAAAACAACATTTAAATAAAATGAATAATTATCTGATATGCTACTTATTTCTTGCTCCTGGCAAGATTGTTCTTGCCAAATAAATATTGTTTCTATAATGTTATAAAGACAAAATACAAAATGTTCATAATGGAAAAATAATGGAAAAAACAGGAACCATACCAATATATAAATTTGTTTAAATCACATATGAACAGCAAATAAATAAATTGTACTGATTAAGCCAAATAAAGTTAATTTGTTAGTTTCAAAAGTCCTCCCTCAATTAGTTTTAGAGCCTCAATGTAAAAATTTACTAATATTTGTTTTACTTGTTTTCTACACATTTACTCAAATGTAGGTGTACTGTACATTGTAATCAACATCATATATGTCAATTTTAATGTATACATACTGTACATTGCAGTAAACATCACGCACATGATACACGCATAATGGCCTTACACATTAAATCTATACAGTGTAAGGAAGGTAGAAACTGCACAGTAACCGAGATAGCAATAACTAGGTCATAACATTGTGTACAGTGTTAAAGCTAGAGTGAATATTTTTTTATAGTGTCAAAGTTAGATAATCAAGGCCGAAAGTCAAAAGGATTAAAAGTAGCCCACCAGGGAGGCATCCTATCTGTGTTAAAAAGCCTTTAGCATGGTAGTGATTTTAAAGATCAACTGCTGTTGGTACACCACCAGAGAGGCCTAGCTACCCGATGCGTTTAGCGGTAATTAAATTACGAATATTAAAACAGTTTCATATTTCTGGAGCTGCATTGTACCAATGGATGCTCTCTGATTTGATTTCTGCATGAATGAAATGGAGACGTGATATGAAATGCAATGTCAAAACATTTATAATCTTCTCGTGTTGTCAGATATTTGTCTAAAATTTGTAATTCAGATCACATTTTTTTCTCGTTTCATTCTCTCATCCAGAGTAGTAAATGGTTTGCCTTAGAAGGATGGCGTAAACTCATAATGGTGCTTTGTTAACTTATCATGCCTCATTATGAAGCTTAGTGTATGGAGTTGTAGTTGTTAGAAAAAATAGCTATATTTAAAAGATTTGTAACTAGGGCCCTACTGTTTATCTACTATTATGGTTTAGATTGAGTCGAGTTGGAAAAAAAAAACATTGTGCATACATGGCAGGAAATTGGTTGAAGGAAGTAATTGTTATGAGAATATTAAAGCATAATGGAATGTTTCTTAAATGATGAAAATGAAGTGCAAAGGTTTACAGCACATCCATTGGAATTCTACCTGATTTGAAAATGAAGTAATATAATATTGCGAAATAAAATATTAAGGATTCCTTTAGTGTTGGACTGAAAACCTAAAAACTAAAATTGGATATATGTATGGATTTCTTGTCTGAATAACATTAGACCAAATAAAATTAATTGTTAGTTTCAGGTCCAAGATTTGAAATTATTTTTTGGATGAGGGTATTTACTATTTGCTATTTACTGTAATACATACTTGTGGTAAACAGGCTGATAAATAATAAAGAAAAATAATTTTTTTTTTTTTATAAAAGAAGTATAATGAACCTTTGTAATGTACTGCCATTTATGGTTCAACTTTGGCTTTCACAAAAATGTTTCAGATTTTCATTATTTGTAAATTTATAGTGGAAAATTAACTGTTTTTATGAAAAATAGGCTCTAAAATTGGATGAGTGCAGGGATGTGAAACTACACTTAATAAATTTTATTTGGCCTTACAAAAAAAAAAAAAATATACTCTGATTTATCATTTAAATGTTATTTTGAAACCAAATAATATAGGCCTACTGTAGCCTTAGTCAGATCCTTCTAATACAAGAGACTTCTCCAGCCTGTTGAGAACTCACATAGGCCTACAGTATAATTGCCAACATGTGTGTCCGTAATGGATCTGATATAAATGTCATATGGCGATTTAAGTACATCTGGAGGCTGTTGGATGCAAGTAAATATTTGTTTACAATTAGCGAAGGTTCGCTACATAACTGGCCCAGTGGCTAGAATCAGGCGTATCTTAATAACACGAATACAGCAGACTAGTTACATTTGTATGCTCTTGACAAGCTCTCACTTTAAAACACCAATTAAGATATTGGTACTGTACTATAATGGCTATCAAGGGTCCAAGTGAACCACTTTAGTCTGTAGGAGCTTTTCTTACATTGCAGTATCATCCTTGTTTTGAACTTTGGCCTTTTTTTGTAATGTACTTTGTTGATGCCAGACAGGATGTAATTATTAAATTTGAAGCGAAATCTAATCATCATCATTTTGCGTGTTTATTAGACTCATCAATCATGTTCATTAAAATCTGAAGAGATAACAAGTTTGCGTAAAAACAGCCAAATAAAAATTAATTACTAATAAGAATGTTGAATATCAAACCATATCAACACCTTCCAATTTAACAACTCAAATATTCCAGATTTCTTCTTTTCATCGTATTACTAAATAACTTACTAATATTATTTTATCAAAATATCCACACAATGCCGTAGCCGGGATTTTCAAACAGTGCAGGACAATATCAGGACGGACCCACTTTACAGTACGCCTAAATTCAAATAATGTGGACCCATGGTGCAAAAATACAAAAAAAATCCGTACCCATTTTATGCAAAACTTCATCCATTTTACAAAAAATATGAGAAATCTGGACCCATTTTTCAAAAAAATGGACTCATTTTGTGCATAAAAACAGCATATTTTAAAACCAGTTTTAAAAATGTAGACCCATTCTTTGTGGACCCAATAGCAAAAATGTGTGGGACTGGCCAAACTCTCCCAATAGCTGGCTATAGCATTGTATCCACATTGTTATAATTTCTGTTTAAAGGTAGACTAGAGTCTACTGATAATATGTATATTTTTATGTCTACATTTTAAACAGCAAATAAATTACAAAATTGAGTGATGATCTATAAATCAGGTCTCTTCATGGTTTTCTAAGGAGTTCTTATTTTTGTTCATAAATTTATCCCATGATCTGAACCCAGGTCCCTGACTGCAGGAAAATTGTGTCATTTTCTACCAAAAGTGAAGCCAAAACCTTCAAATTTAAGGGCAAGCACATTCACACCATTCTACTCATTAAAAATCATAATATACCCAATATTTATTTTTAAAATTTTTAAAATTTTCTTTTATAAATTTAATTTATTGCTGTTATTTAGAGATAATTTATGGATTCTCCAAAATGTAGAAGGTTTATACAGTAATGAAATACAGCTAATCTAGCCTTGAATATGCGTTAAAGTGAAAAATATTGATGAAGCTGGTTCATTAATGAACAGCTTGAATTCATAAATATATTTGCAGTTTTATTTAATAGATGTGCAGGCTTTTATGACATGTTTTATTAATTTATGGTAACATATGTCATCAACGGATGGCGCTGGAAAATGAATGAGGTGGGACATTCCTTCAGGAAATTCCTGCAGGAGAAATTATTTTCCAACCGTGGAGCTCACAACTAATTGACCATTTATTCATTTAGAATTCTAACCATCGGGGAATTATTCAAACCCAATTAAATATTCCCAAAGGAAATAAAAATTGGGCAGCAAATATGAGTCATGGCAATTAAACAAATTTAAAGAAATGCTAACGAACGTAGCATCGTATTGTAATTCATTTTACTTGGTAACGTTGTTATCGCATCGCATGCATCGCTCACAATCACGCACTGATCTTTGTCATTGTTGTTACCCTTCTTGCCATGACCATTACTGCATAGGCCCTATTTGGTTAACTTAAGTCTGAATTTAAAATTATTGTCCTCTGTTATTTAACTCTTGAGTAATGAAATCATTAGTAATTAAATACAACCTAGCCATCTCCATTTATTCATATTCAGAAACATCTTAAAGTTCAGCAACATGGTCATCAAGTAAAGTTTAGCAACTTAAGTGGTACTATTTTCTTTTATTCAGTTGGCATTATCATATCAGCTGCAGGATTTCAGATGAACTGATCCCTAATTCTTAATGTTACATTGATAATTTATGTAAACTGAATGTGGCAATGACCCATTTCATGTGAACAATTTACAACATACACGATTATCCTCAGCAGTCACCTATGTCTTGCAGTTTGTTGAAAAACAAAGAAGATAAATCGATTAGTAGCTCGTACATTTTGAAGGATGCTAATGCGATTTCTCGCGGGATTTATACATTTTGCAACAAGGTGATGAGTGACTCATCACTGTTGTCATCAAGTTTGTTGCAGAAAATTGTTGATCTTTATGGTAGAGTGGTAGACACAGTTTTCAAGTTCTCCGCATTGAAGTCGTTAGTATGAACATATCGTGCATTTCACTTGTGCAGGACACTTTACCTTGTGAATGTCACTTTTCAACCAGGAGGATAAATGGGTACTGTAGGGTTGTTGCATTGAATTCCTAGTATTAGTCTGTATGCAATCCACACTTGGTGTGTATACTATTCAGGAGTGAAGAATATTGTCTTTGTGCCAGTTCACAAATGTGGATTCATCCCAAATAGTTAAATTGATCAGTAGAGTACATAATGTGTTTAACAGTGTTTTTCAAAATAAAGGTTTGTTTGATTGTTTGATTGAATCGTTTGAATAGAATTGAATGTCTAAAACCAAATAGCCATCAAAATGATGTGTGCCCTGTATTTGGATGCTATAGCACATGGGCAGAATGGAAAGAAAAGAACAGTAATAAGTTCTGCTAAAAAAGAACAGACAGAAGTACAAAATAATTCTATTTTTAATACTTTTAAATTGGCAAGCTATTCCAACTTAATGTCTTTTTCAAACTGATCATTTATAAAGAATATTGGTGACCAATAGAAGCTTTCATACCTAGTGCAATTACCCCCACTCCTTCTTTCCATTGTACTTATACCTAGTGCAATTACCCCCTCTCCTTCTTTCCATTGTACTTCATAATTGTATTTTTGTTATTAATAGTGAATTATTTATTTATTTATTTATCATGTCTGATATGAAGGGGCCACTGAGACATATCAACAACAATACAAATTAATTATAATTTTATTTTTTGAAACATTTGTTATACCTACCTAATTATCATTTTGGCAGGTGAAAAATTCCATGGATTATTCTTTTTTTATGGTGATTCTTCTAAAATTAGGTAAGTGAATGATGATGTTTTGTTAATGCTTATAAGCAATAGAAGACTAGATGCTTCCGTTGAATTCCCGAGGCTACAAGGCTTGTTAGATTACAGGCTACTTCGTGGTACATATGCTATAGTAAGCACTCTATCTACTTGGCTTATCAGAAAAGATCTGTGAATTGATGGTCAAAGATTTATGATAATAAATTCACAGCTTTTAAAGTATGGACTGAATAAAGATACTTTTAGATTAAATATGAAACAAAAGGAAGATTTAAGTTTTAGATTATCTTGATGTGACCTGGCTTCACATTGTGAAGGAGCTCCTGGCAAGGAGACCTAATTTCAAAACCAGTTGAGGTTGTGCAATAACTGCAATATAAAAATGTCAAGTTTGATGCCATAATTTATGCTTCACCCAATAAAATTTGGTACTTGATGCTGATGGTGAATTCGGGCTTGACTATATTGCTACTGGAATTGCATGATAAAATATGACGTTTGCAACAAACACCATAATTTGAGATCAGTAAAAGTTTGCTCCCGGTAACCTATGCTCTTATTATCTATAAGTGACATCGACACTATTTTATCAAAAAGTTTCTGATCTTCAAACCGACATACATTTTTTTTTTGGTTGTGTTTTAATCTAATGAATGTATATAGTATCATGGAATAGCAGTGATAGCTGATACCGACGTACAGTAGTGTGTGCTAGACTGTAAAAAAAAGGCATTATTATTATTATAGGTATTAATATTCATAATAGATTGTATCCTGTTTCTATAAATACCAATGGTAATTAATTGTATCCTGTTTTTATATTTAACATCACTAGTATTTTAATTTGCAGTTGTATAACGATTTATAAAGAAATTTAAATAAGGTATAATATAAAATGACATTGTCACACACATAGGACTACATTCCCATTAACATTGTAATACCTGATGACAAAGGGGCAACCTTTTTCTGCAGCATCCCAACAAAGAATTTACGAGTTGCGAATAACTCTCCTCCATTTTTTTCCCTTGCACCGTCACAACAAAAAATTCATGAGTTGCAAATAAGTTGCAGTACATAATCATATGTAATTTATTTAATTAATTCTATTTTCTTACTTTACTATCAGGCAACTGACCAGTGTAGGATTCAAACCCCTGACATTAATGGTTTAGTGCTTTATTTACAATTGCTATGGCAACTTGTCTTCCAACCACCCATACTGTAGATCTCAAGTTGCCCTTTTCATAATTTGTGGGCTTTTTTATTTTTGCAAGATACATTTAACTTGTTGACTACGAAATTTCCCTCCTGAATAATCTATCTTAGCTGTGACAGTCAATTTCATCACTTCATTGTCTGCTATATCATTCACAGCTCTTGATTCTGTTTAGTTTAATTAGTTTTCTCGATTTAAATTAGAAAAGTAGATGCGTTTTAAAGTTAATTAACTAGACACGTTTGCTGGAAATTCAAATGGTCAGATTTTCCAATCTTATCCCTGACTTCCTACCATCCTAATCGACTGAAATGGTAGGCCTACCGAGTGAAGAACATTTTGATTGTGGAGTGATTTGTGTATTGGGTGGAAAGATGCAATCCACTAGATAATATCACTTCAGCTTGGCTAGATCCGATTGCGTTAATTCACCATGATGCTTAATTGCTATGACATTTCCATAACCGTACCCAATTTTTGTAGCCCAGTCGACCGTAGTGATGAAACAACACTGTTTTCTTAAAAGAGTATCTTGTGGGTAACTATGATATCTCTAGAGTTCCTATTTTATTGCCTTTCTGGTTTTTCTTTTCTACAAATTGATTACTCCTTACTTCCTCTGTCCACATGGCTGAATATTAAATTTAAAGTTTATGCACCAATAGTTTGACCTAAAAATGTAAATGTCAAATTGATGATTTAAATTGCAAAACAAAAATTTTTTTTTGGTACTTACACAGGCAGACAATCAATTTGGTGTTTTGAAAATGTTTTGTCTGATCTAAAGCTAACATATGGAAACTTATTTAACCTGTTTTGTGTTTTTTTTTTTTTTTTTTTTTTTTTTTTATTCTGTGATTTTTTTTTTTTTTTTTTTTTTTTTGACAGTAGAATTGGGCTGTCAGAAAATTTTAAAAATGCATTAAAAAAACATTAGAATTTATGTGAATTTTACATTGTATTCTATGTTGGTCAATAATGCTCAACAACAGATTGGTACCATAACAATTACTGTATCTACACCATTAGGGAATCATTGCTTTGTTTTCTTGTTGATATAACCTGTCTTAATTTGATTTAAATCCTTTGATTCATTCTTCAATCATCCATATTATGTGATTATAGCACATACATGTATACAGTCACATAGAAATTGAATCAAAGGATGTTTTCATGCAAGATCTTATATTTAAGTCCTTTTTTTTTTTTTCATTCTTTCTTTAGCAAGTAATTCTCCAATGGTTGAATCAAAGGATGTTTTCATGCAAGATCTTATATTTAAATCCTTTTTTTTTTTGTGATTCTCTCTTTAGCAAGTAATTCTCCAATGGCGTCTCCAGCATCAGTGAGGCTACATGCTAAAAGTCCAAGCAGTGGGCGCTCTTCGACAAGTGCTAACACAGGGTCCAGCAGCGCTAGAGTAAGATTAGCCGAGGAGAACAGAGCCAGACTTCAAGCACTTAATCGAGAAAGGTGAGTTGTAACTTATTCAGTTTTTATTCGTTCAAATGAATGTCTTGTGACTTCCAATAGATTTACAATCTACCAAGGTGTTTGTTCCTGATTCAACTTATGCCATTTTTTTCATTTGGAATAAATACCCCTTTGAGATAACAGAACGTTCCTCTTTGTAGATTTCATACCTTTTCAAATCTATCGTAACTCATGTTATGTTGATGATAACCACAAAACTAGTGTTATAATGGCATTTCTAAAAGCACACTCCAAGAGAACATAAACATTTTCCAGCTAGTGTAACAAGTACTTAGCTGGCATTTTTCCTGCTTTCATAAAGGTGTGCACGAAATCTGCTATTAGATACTTTATATTTTTATTGCAAAGGGGGATAAAGAAACCCTTCCCATGTCTGTCAACTTTTACTGGTCAGTGATTGATTGGTTAATTAGTTGATTGATTAAGCTTGATTTATTGAATGATTATTGTAGTTGTATGCTCTTGAACTTCCCTACCAACTTTCCAAACACCGTTTCTCTTTACTAATCGAATTGTTTATTTTTTATTTTCAATTTCATTGGTGATTAATTGATCTGTTTTTAGTGGATTTATTAATTTAATATATAAAATGAATAACATTTTTGTACAGGGAGAAAATTCTAAATGTTATTTTTGTAGTATATTGACTTTATCCCAAGAACATACTGATTTATCAAATGTGTCTGTCAGTTCTAATAAACATTCTTCCGCTGCAGTCTTTGTGTTTCCCCCTATAGGCCAAATATCCATTTCACTAAAGTGTTATATATTCACACTTCGTGACCTACTGTATTAGTTCTACAACATTGTCACCCTCAGAACCCCTACACAAACCAACAACTTTCCACACGGCAGAGCAACTTAAATTTGATTTAATGAAGGGAACTATGCATCTTGAATCTTGAGACTTCGTCTGTAGCTTATACTAAACAAATTTCTTGCTCAATATCTTTAAAGAATGTCAATTTGATTTAGATTTCCTCCAGTAGTATAATGATTGATATATGATTAAAGTTTTTGTGCTGTGTTGGATTTGACTCTAAGCCTTTGGATACATCCTTCCAATGTAATGATTGATTGCTTACACCGTGATCAACAAAACAGAGTGACAAACATGATCAAAGTATAATTCTGTAAATTGGCTAGATCGTAATATATTTATTTAAGATTACGGATCCATTAGTTTTGTTGTGGTCTTTTTTTTATTTCTCACAAATAACTCAAGCACCACACACTCATAAATTATGTGATAGAACTAATGTGACATTCTGTAAACTAAGTCTCACATAGTGAGGCCTACTGGAGGAGGTGAACCTAAGACTGTGGATTGGAAGACAAGCATATAGCCACCAATTACACATCCCTTCAACTTTTTGTACCTATCTGTATCTTGACTAATAAGTAGAATAGAAAATTCTCTAGTATGCTGTAGAAAGAGTAGATTTTAATTTCAAATGTTAAGATAAATGGTATCAAACCACCTGAATATGATTTTAATTATGATTATGAATTTAATGTAAATCAATATATATATAATAACCATGTGGTCAGAAGGACATATAGATATGAGAATTTCATTTCATTTATTATTTATTTATTTGATAATGCACGTTTACATTAGGTACAATACAACAAATTTTGGTCAGGGGCAGATTAAGCAAAATTTTACTACAACTCAAAGAGAATCAACTGCCAAATTAATAAATATTAACATAAAAAAACACATTTAAATACAAAATACATTATAAAGAGGCCTAATTCATAATTTTAGAAAATATAAACTTATTCTTACTTTATATATAAATAAATATCACTTATTACACACAAAAAAATGATATAAAAAGAAGATTACTGAAATTAAACATGTTAAAGATCAGTTATTAATTAAAAAACTATTTATAAGATTAAGGTCTATGAATGTAGGTAATTACTGTTTTAAAATTGGTAATAGCAGTGAAAAAGATTAACAAATAGAAAAAAAATGAATAAAGGGGTGATAATAATGAACCAATGAATATCCATGAGAGTGCTGGGAAGAGGTTTCAGTACTACAGATTTCCTGTTTGGTCCACACACTAGGAAATAGATTTACAGGTGAATTTCTATAAGCAATGGTCCTAGAAAATTGATGTAGAAAGGTTACATTGCTTGTGTGTGTGGAGATCACATGGATAATGTCTGAGATGGAGTGACAGTCAATTTTCCCAAATAAGCATTTGAGTACAAAAGATATGAGATTAAAATCATGTCGGAAGCTGAGAGGAAGAAGATGAAGCGATTCTAAACGGGCATAATATGGAGTGTCTCCTCGTTTCTCTTTTAGTATACCTCTAGAAACGAACCTCTGTATACGATGCCCTCTATAATTAATAAAGCATCTTCAGATAATTATCTGGTATTAAAACGTTTCAATTATTTACATTCAACTTGCTACATGCTAATGGTATTCTGCAGATTTGAAATTCACAATTTTTTGTCTGATAATTGAGAAAAAAAGGACATATAATTTGTTATTGTACTGTATGTTTTCTGTGATGTCAGACCAAAATAATGATTTGGCACCATGAGACACAAGACATTTATTGTATCTGCGCTTGAAGTCTTCGGATTAGGTAATTTCGTTGACGATTTTTCCCCAAGAGGTTTCGAAGAAAGGAAATGATAATGTCATTATAAAGTAATCTAAAGACACAAGGGAAATAAGCTTCTGTTTACCTATTCAGTGTTATCATATTTTTGTGCACTGTGACACACATAAAATGTAGTCTCTCTCCCTTTTATTTCCATTTTCACTGTCTGTCATCAAAATTCAACTATTGTCTAGTAGGATATACGAAATATATAAAAATAACAAGGTTTACCATTTTAACAATTTAAAAATGGAAGCAATTATTTTCAACATGTCAAAAAAAAAAATGTTTCCACATCATTTCAAGAACATTTCAAATACAGTACAGTAGAATCCCTACTTTGGGACACCCAAATGAGGGGACATCCTATTAGGGGTACACTTTTTTGGTCCCGTTGTTTTCCCCTTAATAAAGGGTTCTACTTTAGTATATAACTATACTAAGATATTTCACCTACTACTACGGTATCCAAGATTGGTTTGTAGAAATTGTAATAATTAGAGGGTAATATATTGAAGGATTTTATAGAGCATGACTTGCGTCTGTAATTGGCAAGTGCGCTTCATGTTGGATATGAATAATGTTATGTGAGCAGCCCTTGTAGATTACTATGTGAAGGAGTAAATTTCATGATGGCAGTAATCTATTGAAAATGAAAAATTTGAAATATTGAATTCAACTTTTTAACTTGCCACTTTTTTAACTGTGTAGGCTAATCAGTTAAGTTACTAATCATTCACTGATTCTGGCATTCCACTTTTTGATTAAGTACTTAATTGAAATGGCTTCCGCATATATAAAAGAGATGCAACAAACTTGTTAATTTATTTTTTTGTGTGTGATATTTCTCTTCTTCACTTTCTCCTTTCTTCCTTCTCTCTTTTTCTTTTCACTTCATTTCTTTTCTTTCTTTCACTTTTCTTTTAAACTTCCATTCTTTTTCCTTTTCTTTACATAAGATTCCTTTTCCTTTTTGTTTCTTTCTCTTCCCTTTCATTGCCCTTCCAATTCCAATCTTTTGGATTTTTTTTTTTGCATTTCTTTTTTTCTTTTCTGATCTTATATCTCTTTCTCTTTTTACTATCCATTTTTATCTTATTCACATTCTTTTTGTGTTCTTTTTTTTTTCTGCTTCCCAACTGACTGGCTGGATTTTACTCTTTCAACATTGACTAAAGGGTACAGGCTGTCTTTACATCTATTTTTCAAATTGGAATTAAAAATGTGCTATTTTAACAGGCTTTTAATTGGTGACATTTTCAAAACGTTTCTCCCTCTAGCATTTTTTGTCCACATTCAAATCGATTGACAGTTTACTTAAAAACAGGATATGGTTAGTAATTAATTCTCATTCAAAGATGGAAATTACATTCCAGGTCATTCACACCGTGTTATTAAGTACTGTTGTAGGTGTAGCATTAGTAGTGCTTACATAAAAAATGTTTTGTTCTAAGCAATCACTTAAATCAAGGTGTTTTGAAATGTGATTCTTAGAAAATTTGAAAACAGTAACTTTTTAAATATTTTATATTTACCTACTGAATTTACTGAATTAAAAAAATTAGATATTTTTGGCCAATTGACAAATGTGTTTAGTGAAGCTAATTCCATATTTCAGATGGAGGAATGTAAAGTATTCTGTACATTATGAACCACTATAAAAAATAGAAAAATGACAAGTGTTGTGATTTGGCCTTTGAATCTAAAGTTTGGGGTTTGATTCCCACAATGTCCATTTTACATGTGCGCTTGGGCGAGGCCTCTTTTGTAACCTTCTTTGTATTTATCATTGGATAATGCTTAATAAACATGATGAGATGGATTACTCTCCCAGAAAGCTGGAAATGTGTTTCATTTATCAAAATGGCAGGGACTTATCTGCAGATAGAAGCCCCTGGCTATGATGTGCTAAGTTAGTCCTACATATTATTGTGGATGCGAATATAACAAAAAATAACTTTCTCATCTAATTGTATGCATATTATCCGTTGTGGCCTACTAATGGAATGTGTAAATAGAAAATCGTGATCAGCCGCTAACAGTGCTATGTTACAATTTTATGTGCGGTCGCCATGAAAACCGGAATTTGCTATTTCTATAATACTAACCTGAGGATTAAGAAACCATGGTAACCACTGTTGTGGATTTACCAAGGTAACAATGTATTACAATGCCAAGATGTTTGCCAAAAAAGAGGAAATTTATTGCAATATGTGCTAAATAAGAAAAGCATAATTAATTAATATATTGAAAGTTATAACAATCAAATTTTCTTACAGTATTTTAGCATTTCTTTATTAGATTATTATCCATCTTCCATATTAGAGATTTATCCCCCTCTCCACCCCT